ATGGGTTAAAAAAAAAAATTTTAAAAAAAAAAAAACCCCCAAAAAGTCGTTTTTTTTTTTTTTTTTTTGTAGGAATGGAATTGCAGTCAAAAGTTCAAATAATGATTTTTTTTAAGTGTTTGTTAAATAAAATGCATCCAGTTTTCTTATTATTTTGGGCTTGATTGAAGAAAACTGAATATTTTTGTCTAAACTCAGCAAACAAAAATAATGCACTTTAAAAAAAAAAGTATTTCCATTTGTAATGTGCTTCTTTAGGACACCAGTCACAGAAACTAGTGTGATTTGTATCACTAAATTGCACAATGCAGCTGTATTTTAAAATTTATTGACATTTATTGATCCTTTCATTAAACAAAAGGTGGAGAAAATGGTAGATCAAACCATTTCAGGGGGTTTAAACATCATTACCTGGAGCTTATTGTGGGAAATTCATTACAATAAATGACATACAATAAAAATAATAAAAAGCTGCCAGAGAGGTTGGGAAAAGATGATCATTTGTTGCTGCATCTAACATTTCTGTAAGTAGGATTTAATTTAAGAGTTGTCATTTTGTCCCAATTCATTTAATCTTTATGGTTGAGAGGCCTGCGAATGAACACAGCCGACTCACAGACATCTGCATTTCAGGTGAGCTTGTACCAGATCTCTGTTAAAACTGACTGACCGTTGATGTAGTAGGAGTTGATGTACTGGATGGCGGCGCGGGAGATGTCAGCAGACTGAGCTCTCAGAGCGATTCCCCACAGCTGGTCCATCCCACACAGCTGGAAACAAACACAGCAGGCGATTGGCTCCATCAGGGACGCAGCGGTGCGTTCAGGGTCAGAGAGGAGGGGCTTTGAAAGAACAACACCGTCTTCTTTTCTCCTTTAATAAAATCTGGGTTTCGCATAAACCGTTTTCTCACACTTGTTGCCAACGTAATGTAGACATGCTTTTAATACTAGACGAATTTCCGTTATTGCTTTTACACTGAACCAACGCTGTGTACAGAGAAATGCCCTTTTGGAATATGTTGCCTTCTGAAATTACATTGATGGCTGATCATGTAAATTTAAAAAAATATCGTAAAAACCTTTATAATGGAGAGAGATTTAGTATCAACTTGATGGAAATGTTTAAATTTATATTCAAAGTTTGATATCGTTTGTTGTATTTGTCTTTGTTTTTAGTAAAAACAAAAAAATACACAATTACAACAAAGAAGAAGAGAAGAAAAAAACACACCCAACAAAGCCCTGTAAAAACTGTCACCTAGAAGATATGCAACAAAAAAAATTCAATTAAGATCATAAAAACACCAATTTCAAGATTTATGGGAACATGGAAAAAATGTTAATGGTTGTTGGTGGTTCATGGAAAAAAGTCAAAGTATTTCCAGGTTTTATGAAATCCATTTTCAGAGCCTCTCATCACATACTTGATTTTCTCTAGTTTTAAGTTATGCAGTGCGTCTTTTATCCAGCTTCACTCTGTGGGTGGAGCAGCATCCTTACATTTAGGACGAACCAGGTGAGCAGAGCAATCACCTTTCCACCTCCAGCAGGTAAACCCAACCCCTCAGGAGGAACCCCAAAAAGCTGCATAAATGGGTTTGGAGTAATCTCAACTCCAAATACAGCTGAGTGCGCTTTATCTTTGTTTTTAATTTAATTCTGGTACGGTTGAAAAGGTTTGTGTGGTATTTTGTTGGGTGTTTTCCTAAGTCATCGAAGCAGTTGATTTGAATTTTGTGTGTAATTTAATTGTCATTATGTCTGAAGGATTATGTCATTTTTGTAAAGGATTTCAATTGTAATGTTTGGTGTGGACCCCAGTCCCTACTATGTCAGACCCTTAGATAAACAAATGAACAGGTTCACCTCGCAGCTGGAGGCGTTGTCCAGGGTGCTGGTGGCGAGGCGAGCCAGGTTGCAGAGGTGCTGGAAGAGGTTGAGGCCGGTCATGCTGATGGTTTCTGGTTTCAGCTGAGGCATCTGGAGACAAACATCAGCGCAGATTAACAAACAGCTGCCGTCCCCACGGAGCGGGACGGCTTTCCGCTCCAGCGCGCCATAAAATCCATCCAGCTGAGAACATTTAGGGCTGGAAGTATCTGCTGTCACCAATTCATTTTATTCCAGCTCTTATCCAAAACCTGCAATGTTTCAATAAGGGCTTAAAGAGGCAGCGCGCAACTTTTATTTGAAAAACCCAAACATTTTTCCACACATCTGTTGAAACTCGTGACAGTATGACGCGGGGGGAAAATACAACTTCCTCTGTCTTTTCCCAGTGCTAACTAGAAACAACCAATCAGAGCCAGGAGGAGGGCCGTAGCGCTGTCAATCATGCCCGTGTGCGCCCTGCTCAAACCCTGCAGGGCGCACACAACCCTATTGTGAATGCTAAGGCTAGTTAGCTTGGCCAACAATGACGGCAGATAAATGTTTTTCCGGAAACGGTGAATTGTTTCTCTGCTATTCACACATTTAGCAGCTTGTTCACAAGTTTTAGCTAAGCCTCAAATAGCAATAGATTTTTTTATCTTAAAATGCCAAAAGTATAAAAACATTCTGTATAGTTTGGGCTCAATTACTGCAATTAAGTGTTTTGTTCATTCAGCAAACTGCCGTTTTTGAGTTTGTATACTTAATTAGTAAACTAGTTGACAATTATTTCAGTAATCGATTCGTCACGATTAATTGTTCAAGCCGTTACACAAAACACACCAAAGCCATCAACAACTAAACCTCCCCAGTTTAACAGAAAATATCAGACATTTTGTTTGTTCTTCAGCCTCGATGCGACATGCGCACCTTCTCCAGAAAAAGGTGCTTGTACGTCTCCATGCCCATGGCGTGCTGGTCCTTGCTGCGAACCTGATTGAGGAACCAGTGCAGCGCATCATCGTAGCATTCAGCGTCTTCTACCAGACAGTGCCACAGGATGTCCACCTGTTCCAGACTCAGTCCTGAAAGAGAGACACAAAAACCTTCATCTTTTTCACTGTTGCATGAAGGCAATTCAAACAGTTCTGCATGCTGGGAAGACCATGGAGCGATTTCTGTTTGGTCAACAATAAAACAGTTGAGGAAAATCCTTAGTAACACTTCAGCGCATCTGGTTTTCATTCAGAGTCTGTGTGGAGTGGTGGAACATTTCACGCATCAAGCGCTACGCGATTTGGAGCGTTTAGTGTTTTGAGCGTTTCAAGCACAAATCTGAACTTTAACGGCTCAATGTGGAGCGTCAACCAGCACGTAGTGGTGCATTTTCCAATATATTCTCAGAAAAATAAAAAACTATGGAGGATAAACTAATTGTCGCTGCTTGCTCTCGTATAATAATCTACGAGAGTTTCGACTACACAGACAGAATAGAAAGGACCTTGCTTGGAAGAGGATCAGTGGAATGTCGAGTAAGTTATAACTTACTAACTAACCCTAACTAACGAGCAGTTTATTTGATCCAGGTGTGTTTGAGCAGAGACACATCTAAAAGTTACAGGATGGTGGCCCTCGAGGACTGGAGCTGGTGACCCCTGGTCTAGATAAAATATTCAGAAGATGGTGGAAGAGTTTGAGGAACACGTATGCCAAGGAGTCTGACTTCAAAGTGCAGACGCATCAAACTTGAATCGTCACTCGTTTTAGATGCTCAAAATGCGTTCGGTGTGAACGCACCAAAAGAAAACTGGATCAGAGTGTGATAATATACAATATAGACACAAATTAATTTTAAGATTTAAATGCCAGAAGAGACTGAAAAGACTCCCTAAACCAACATCTGTCTTTCTGAAAGTAGTTTTGTGCTGCAGTCAGTGGAAACCAGCAGCCAGCGGTTTGTTTATATAAAATATTCATGTCCAAGTCGAGGTTTCTGCAGACTGCACAGCAGAAAAGGAAAACAATGTTTCTTTAAAATCCTAAATCAGCCTCTCTCCCACACATACGCACCCAGACAAGCGGAGCATTGTTCTCAGCGGAGCAGCATAAGTGTTGTGCCATTGTTTGCCCAAAGATTCAGGAAAACCAGATGCACATTCAAGATCCTATTGTGAAGCTACAATAAAATCAGCTTTTCCTTGAGACCCACTAATGACAAAATAAAACGCTGGAGAAACCATTTGACATATTTTTCTATCAAAATGCTTACTTGGCACATTTCAATTAACAATTAAATGCTAAAACATCTCAGTTATGTTCAAAGACCAGGCCTCACAAGATCCTGCAAAAGCATTCATTCAAGTTTATCGCATTTTCCGACTTCAAAACCACAAACTTATAACGTTTATTTTGTGGATTTTGTGTTCTGCATCAACACAAAGTAGTGTGAAATGCATTGTGGGAAGGAAGGCTCCTGTTTGGGGTTTGCCACAAGTCATCTAGTGGCAACAGCAAACATGTAGATGACGATAATTTGGGCAAACACGACCAAAATGTAACATCCAGGACAAAGATTAGGAACTTGGGGAGAAATTCGCTTCCCATCAGGAAGACGACTCTAAACGTAGAGCTAGAGCTCCCAATCAGTGGTTTATATCAAGACATATTTCGGTGTCAAAGTCTGGACTGAAATCTAGCTGAGAATCTGTGGCAAGGATTCAAAAATGCAATTTACAGATGATCTTCATCCTGTTCGTCTGAGGTTCATCTTTTCTGAGCAGATAAACCTACATGCTGTCAGCGGCATTTTCCAAGAGACTCATAAAGCAGTAAAGATGTTTCTATAAGAACTTGACTGAGAGCGGTGAATAGAAATGTGTCCCATACTTTTATTTGTAGAAAAAAAAATTTAAAAATAATGCATTTTTAACTTCCAATTCACAGTTATGCACATCTTCTTAATGGTCTAATCATATAAAATACCATTGAGACGGGATCATAGTTAGAAACTTTTTGTTTTAAGTGAAAAAAAAATTAAATTAATTTCAATACTTTTCCTATCTTACTGGATTCTGATGAGAAACTAAAAACAGACTTATGATGCATCTAACATGATTATTGCTTTCAAAACAACAAAACCAAAAATCCTACAAGCCCTTCATTTTACAATGTTCCCATTCTGAGCCTACAGCTAAAAAAAACCAAACTTTTACTGCAGGAAAATGAATGCCGAGTCTAATCAAAACAAAAACAAGCCTTACTGAAGTGGTCTGGTGATCCCAGCGTTGAGAAGACGCAGGTGAGGAACTGCAGGCGGACCTGCACCTCTGCACTGTGGCTGTACCTGCAACAGCACAAGAAGAAGAGGAGCAATTTGTGTTACCATCAGGACACTTAATTAAATAAACTTCAACATCTGAGGCTAGCATAACTACAGAGTTTTGCAGCTTTAAGGGGCTGCAGATAAGCATAAAAATATGGTTTCTTTTTAAAAGCTTCATCCCGTTTTGTGTTCATGAGCTGGAAAAAGATCTGGATCCATATTCTCAAAGAATCCCCAGAGACGAAAAGTGACGTCGTCGTCACATTCTTAGAATATTACTTTGGTAAGATAGAAGTTACTCACAGAGCATTTTAGGAATTAAGAAAACCCATAATGTGACAATGCTAGGTGCAAAGAGGAGGACCAAAATAATGATGTAAATAAGGTGCAATTAAACATGTTCATGCTGTGTGGCAATTAATTCAATTTGTTTTAAGTTTCATCATCACGACGTTTTCTTAATCCAGATTAGATTCAATGATTGGTGAATTTCTACCAACTAATTACTGGGGGTGTATTTGTTTTTTGTTTTTTTGTTGCTTTTTTTTGGTGTGTGTGTGTGTTGTTATAGGAAATATAGTAAACAAATTATTTTGTTTTTGGTTGTGTATGTACATGTTTTTCTCTGTCCTACTTGCTTGTCCTTGTTTTTTTTAGCCTGTTTGAAATAAATAAATTCAAATTTAAGACTTTTTAAGATCCTTTTATGACCATTTGGAATGGAATTTAAGACCAGTATCGCTACAGATGTGTAGAAAAGAAAACTGCAAATAAATAAAATAAATTACACATTATGGGCGTAAAAACAATAGCTAGCTTTACCCTTGCTAGCTAGCTAGCTAGCAAGGTTTCCATAACTAAGATACTTGCTAGTTAGCCAGGGTATATTAGCAGCTAGGTGCCAGTAGCTGTAAACTCCTCAAACCACAAAATGCACTGAAGATGTCTGTGCATAACTCAAAGTTTTGTTTAACAGCGTCGCTACAAAAAGCCTTTTTACAAAGGCTTTTTTTTTAAGGATGCACGGACATCATGTTTGTGAATACGGGCCCTGAATATTGTCCAGTTCCAGTCACCAATGCCGGTGAATCTATTTCAACAACAAAATTAAAATAATAAATGGTAAATTAACTTCAAATATGTATGAAATCAAAGCTGATTCTGGGCTGTTCTGGATAAAACCAGTTTTTCTTACCTAAATGTAAAACCCTCTAAAGTTTGAGTAAAAGTTAAGAGGAACTCCTGAAAACAAAGAGCTGTTTTTTGCTGTTCAAAGCCGGTCGGGTTTGGGGGAATCACCCCCGGCAGACTCACAGAGCAAACTTGTGTCGGTGTTCTCGGACTTCTTGGATGTAGTGTTGCAGGTTGTCGAAGAACAGCTTCATCATGTGCAGCTCCTTCTCAGCCCACCTAACACAAACAACAACCAGATCAGCCCAGGCTGCAGGCAGGAAGACTGAAGATGTTTACGTCTCTAATCTTCTCAAAAGATGAGTCGATTTGCAAAACAGTAAAGTAGCTGCATATTTTATTTAATCTTTGCTGGACTTTGATGAAAAAAAGCTAACAGAAGTTGGTTAAACCAAACAACATGTGCTAAGAAATAAAAAAAAAAGCTTATTATTGTGCTGCTGTGTTGCCATGGCGCCTGAATAAAGGCTCTGCTGCTTACATAGTAATCCAGTGGGTGTCGTAACTGGAGCCAAACTGCTGGAAAGTGCCAAAAAGCTTAGGAAGTAAGCGCAAGGAAACCACGACGGACCTGAGAGGAATGAAGAAGATGGAGTTAAATAATCCACCGGGGACAAGCAGTGAATAAACTTTGGAAGAGTTCAGGGGAATGCGTTTTGTTTTACCCAAGTGCTAAAGACAGAAACAGCTAAATTACTGATGTCTAATTTAAAAGCACAAGTTTCATTATGTTTATTGGGGGGAAAAAAAGAAGCACTGCATTACACGTGAGTTTGAGTCGTGCTTACCGATGATGGGCCAAGTTGTCAAGGCAACCCTCGATGAAGCGCATTCGGATCTGTCTGTCGGTGAACCAGCAGACCAGAGAACACAGCAGCTTCTCCGCTTCGTTAATCAGACCCTCAGAGAGATGAATCTGAACAGATGTGAAGAAAATCAGAACAACCCAACAATTCCTCAAAACCAACAAGCTGCAGGCTGTTTCCTCTCAACGACCCAGATGTGGCATTTAAGCAGCATGATCTTGTAATTCTGTTCAGGGGACTAATCCCAGTTTCAATCAGTAAAATCTTATTGGATCAAATATCTCTTGATCTGGATCTTTAAGATTAAAAACCAGCTAAAGCCCTACCAGAACAAAATCATGGTAACGTTTTTTTTTTTTTTTTCAATCTCAGAATGTCAATCCTGCTCTGTTTCTGAGAAAAGTGAAAATACGTACCGCGTCTTCGTCCTGCACCAAATCCCAGAGCAGCGTATTCCCCTTCTTACAGACATTATCGAGGTTGATGTCGGTCATGGCGTGGCTGGAGTACTGATGTTTATGAACAGATGGACCTGCAGAATCACACAGAGGGAACCGAACCTTTAAATCCGGCGGGTTTGCAGCCGGATAAGCCGTTTCGTTCAGCAGGCCTCCCTCACCTTGCACCAGGTGCTCATGGTAGATGGAGGCCAGGTTGGGGAGGTGCTGCTGCAGGTGGGAGCTGAGCTCAGCATGGGAGTTGATCTGGACCAGCTCCTCCTCGCAGCCCGACTCCTCGCCGTCAAAGTCGGCCATGTTTTTCTCTGACTTGGCGCTGACCTGGGAGCTGCTGCAGCTGACGTCATCAGCACTCAGCATGTCCTCCACCATGGGACTGGAGGAAGAATCAATCAATCAATCAATCATGCTTTATTGATCCCAAAGGGAAATTACAAGAAAGAGGGAATCTTAAAATAACTCAGTTATAATGGGCAGCAGCAAAACCTAAGAATTTCCAAAGTAATTTTTCAAACTTTTCCAGCACAAAAACAAAAATGACCAAAAGAAGACAGTTTCAATTCACTATAGATATTTCTGTTATTAATATTAAATGTGATAATATTGTACATACTAAAACAGGGGCAAGGAAACCTAAAATATAACATCCCATCACCTGACTGGTCGAGAAGCAAAGCACTAATTTATCTAACACATGAAAATCAATTACATTTTATTTTTATAGCACAATTCAGCAAAGCGGCAGCTCAAAGTGCTTCAAATCATAAATATAAGACAACTTTTATTTAAATTACACAGATCAATAAGTTTTTGAGCCATAAGGAATAATACTTATTTCATTTAAACAATCCAGAAATTAGCATTTATATTGTTCATCATTTATAGTGATGAAGAAATTTGATTTATTATTGGCGTCACTAAAAAACATTCAGTTAATGTTTAAAACCCCTGAAACTGTCTGTACTGTTGGGATTTTCTCCACTGCTTGTTCAATTAAAGTATCAATAAATGTCAATAAATAAATAAAATAGCTTAGTGATACAAATCTGACTTTGTTATGTGGCTGGTGTTGTAGAGAAACGTATTACAAATGAGCCTTTTTTCCAAGAGCAGTGTATAAAAAAGTATTAAAATAGTTTTATCACGATATAAAAGTGATAAGTACCAAGTCCATATCGCCCAGCCCTATGAAGAAAGTTTAAAAAAATATCTAAAATACGCTTTTGACAAGTTTTCTGGCATTTAGCAAATATAAATCATTTTAGTGATTCTACCCGACCTAAAACTTCAGACAGCGGGAAAAGCTGTGTGTCTTTTTATTATGAAAACATGAGGCTTCAACTGAACTCCAACAACACTCCTTGGTTGCCTAGCAACAGCCACTGGAGTAACCAGCGCAGCAGCAGTTTCAGGTTTTACTACTGAGCCTCACAGCTGCTGAAAAATAAAAACAAAAACAACGGCGTGGAGTGAAAACCGCTGATAAAGGAGGACGGGTCACACCATCAGTTTGGTAGTATTTCGGATATTTAAAACAAAAAAAGTATCAATACCAGCCCTAAAATAATGTTTTCCAAATTTTGGTTTTTAACCAAACATTAGATTAAACTTTATTACAAAACTGCAGATTGAATATCGAGCACTTTCAAAGATTTTATAAATAATTCAAGCTCTTTTCAATTGAGATTGAAGCATTTTCAAGGACTTTAAGCATTCGGCATCATCATCATCAACAACTTTATTAAATACACAAATAAGTCCATATGAGAAAATTATCAATATTAATAATTTTAAAAATACAAATAAACCCTGAAGCTCAGTTTAGAATAAGAAGCAAATTTAGCTTGATGATTAAATTGTCCCAAAAGTTTTGCGATAAATGATAATATTGTTTTTGAGACCATAATATGTTAATGGAATGATAAAGCAAGTTTAGAGTAAACTTTAATTTATTTGGAGTTTTGACTAAGAATCAGAAACTCTTACCCTTCGTGGTGATGGTGGTGATGATGATGATGGTGGTGGTGGTGGTGGTGGTGGTGCTGCGGGCCGATGAACCGGCGGCAGTTGAACAGCTCGCTGCTCATGGCCTCTCCCAGGAAGTCCCCCGGCCTGGGCAGGCAGGGCGGCTCCTGGGGCCCCTGGCCCATCTGAGACGGGCTGATGTCCTCCGGCTGCTGCTGGGGCTCCATCGCCTCGGCCCGCACCGATGACGACGAAGAGCAAGCATCCAGCAGCCGCAACCGGCCCTCTAAAGAAGTCGACGCCGCCGTTACCATGACAGCGGACGTCTCCGGGCTGAACTGGAGGACTTTGGTTTTGGCTCCTCCCCCTGACCCGATGGGGCCCACGCCGTGAGCCGACCCCTCGCCGAGCGCCTCCCCGGCCTTCCTCTTCCTCGTCTCGGTGTGCCCCTCCTTCTGCTGCCCGTCCTCGGCGTTGGACGCGTTCCCTTCGTCGTCGTCTTCCTCGTCGTCGTCCTCGTCCTCCTCCTCATCCTCCTCCTCGTCCTCCTCCTCCTCCTCCTTCAGGGCCTCGCTGTCGGCCATGTCGTCAGAGTGCAGCTCGCTGCCGGGGCTGCCGGCTGATTGGCTGGCGCGGCTGGAGGCGGCCTCGTTGCTGGAGGCCTCGCTGCGCCCGCTGCTGCTGCCGGGGCCGCTGCTGCCCTCCTCCACGCTGTTGGCCGTCTCGTCGGAGCTTCCCTGCATCGACTCCTGGACGAACGACAGAAACAGCCCGTTGCTATGGAAACGACTCAGAGCTTTTCTGGCTCAGTGAAAGGGTTAAATTTAGGACTGAAACGATTAATCGTGATGAATCGATCATTCAAATAGTCGTTAACTAATTTAGAGATTGTTAACAGGGTGATTAATCAATAATTGTTAAAATTAAAATGAGATCAATAATTTCCATTCGGATTTTCTTTTTTTTATAGACACTTCGTTTTACAGAATCTTCACAATTCATTTTACTTATGATTTCTGTTGTGTGTGTTTTTATTTCCGTTTTATTTATTGTTTATTGCTGTTATTTAAAATATAAACAACAATATTAGTTTGTGAAAACACAAACTATTCTCTAAACATGCATTATTATTCCACTATCTATATATTACAATTTCAAAAAATCTTTTATTATTTATTGCAATAATTTTGGGACAATTTATCGTCAAGCAACATTTTTTATGGTGACAGATCTAACTGGAACATACAGACTCAACTCAAAAATACTAATTAAACCAAAATTGTACACAAAATATAAACATTTTTGCATTTTTTAGCTTCATCTGGTTCAAATAATCTCCTATTAAGCATCTTTAGCTGTCCAATTATTAATCGGTTAATCAAAACAAACAAAAAAGAAGATTAACCGTTCACTGTATTGATATTCAATCAAACATGTTGATGTTAGAAGTATTTGTTACAATTTGCTGCAAATTATCAAGCATAAATAAAGGAAGCTGTTATTGCATTTTAGGCAATAGAATGATTATTTTCTCAATCAAAAGTGGAATTTAATTCTTTGCTTATTTGAATCTTTTAATGTATTCCTATTATTAAGTTGGTTGAATGAAAAATCTGCAGAATGTGCTAATTTTCTATCTGATTAATCGCCAGAATAACCAATTACTAAAATAATTGTTAATGCCGCATGTTTAGAAGCCAACCTCGGTATCTGAGAGCCGCTGCTGGCTCCTCTTGTTGCTGGGCACCATCATCTGATCGTCCATCTCCATGTCGCTGCCGCCGCTGTGCTGCGTGTCGCTGTTATCGCTGCTGTCCGGACTGGCAGCCGGAGAGCCTGGAAACACAGAAAACAACCAATTTAAATAATAAAAAACTCTTTTTTTAAAAACAAACTGGGTTTGATCAAACTTGTAAAGGTCAGTTATGACCATCCTCGCTTTTTACAGCATGTTAAGATTATTGTGGTACAAAAGTATGTGTATTTTTCAGTCCTTGTTCATATGCGTGATTTTATACTTCTATCAGATTCAAATCATATTCTCAAAATGGTCTGTATTGTCAGAAAATATAATTAGAAGCAGTTACTTTGTGTAGTTTAGTGATACCTCACACTCACATGATTTTTTTTCCAGTTTTTTGTTTTTAGGTTTATGATTCATGTGCCATGCAGTCACAGCTACACAATTACCTAAAAAAGCAGCAATAAATAGTGATCACAGCTTTTATTGTCATCACATTACTTCAAAGTATGACAACAAAACTTTTTTTTCATGATTTCATAATTGTAATTAGTTTTCATCCTGATTTACTACATCTGGCTCCTTGTGGCACAGAATAATGATGAATGTCTGACGTCACTGAGGTAAAGGTTGGATGAAATACAGCTATAAAAATTATCGATTTAGTTCCACATCAGGAACTAAAACTCAGCTCAGACGTTTTGGGGGGTGAGAAGATCAAACTGCCATGAAAAATGTGGGTGCAAGTCACATTTCCCTCCTGTGTGAACTCAGTCTAACGAACAACAGCTGTATCTGTACAGACATTAAATTACACAAACACAACAATTATTTTATTCATCCTGCATTTTTTATGTATTGATTGTGGTAAACTTTTGTTTTCTGTGCTTTGTTCTGTTTAAATATGTAACCAATATGTTTTTTAAAAGATAAAAAAAATCATAATTATTCTAATTTTTTGATGGAAGAAGCCTGATAGCTTGTTTTTATTGCACTGTGATGTACTGCATTAGCTTGAGGGTCTACAGATGAAAAGCAGCCCAACTGTGGCATACTTTGTAGTGTGCATTGCCCCTTTTGAAATAAATAAACAACAATAATTAAGCCAGTTCTGACGACAAGAGGCTGCGCTGGATTTAAGTTTGAGCTATAATTCAGAAAAACACGCACCTCTTTACTTTCACCTCACAATTCAGCCCAACTCTGTGTTGGTCCACCACATAAAATCTCATTAAGATGCATTGAAATTTGTGGCAAAATGTAAAAGGTTAAATAGAGGAGAATATTTTCCCAATGAATCACCATTGATTGAAGACAAGGATCCAGACTGACCTTTCTTGTTCCCCATGGGGAGGTTGGTGTTCAGCAGCGAAGCAAAAGAGCTCTGTTTGGAGAGCTGGGCCTTGGCTGCAAGAGCGTTGTTCCACAGAGCCTTTATCAGCATGGAGGCCAGGTACAACGTCTGGGTGGAGGGGGGGGACAGGAGCGCATCAGGATTTCACAGTTTTGAAGCAGTTTGACGCAGCTTACAGAGAGCATCTGTGCCTGTAGAGTACCTGCTCAGTGTGGGCGCTGGGATGCAGGCCCGACACCAGGTTCAGGACGTGACGGAGAGGCACTGGGTCCAGGTTCTTTATTAACGACGGGAAAAGGTCATGGATGTAGCGGCTGCAGTGTTTCAACTGAAAGCACAAAAAAGAAAGCTGTGAAATATGATTGAGTGTGAATTGATTAATCGTGACAATTGATTGCTGAAATAATAATCAGCTAAATTGGGAATCAATTCATCGTTAACAGGAGTATACAGGCTCTAAAATATGGTAGCTGGAAAAGAAAAAAAAACACTCAAAGAAGTAACTAGGTCAAAACTGTAGATTAAAAATCGAAAGATTTTGCATTTTATATGGAAAAACCTTCTTTGCTCTTCACAGAAATCCTCAAGTGTCGCAGTTTTAGTTTTACCTGGTTCAAATTCTGTTTAATATCCTATTAAGCATCTTTTAATCTCCAGTTATTAATAAGAAACATTGATCAACAGATTAGCCCTACACTGCATTGATGCTAAGTGAAGCAGAAACGTCTTTATTTAGTTGCACATGCATTCTTTGCTATGTTTTGTTTTCCTTTTTAGAAAAAGTTATTGAATTATTTGTTTATTTGCATTTTTAAGAACTCTTTAATGGTTTATATAAAAAAAAGCTTAAGTGGATACATGAAAAATCTGCAGAATGCGCCACGTACTCATTAGCTTCAGTCGTAGTGAAAATAAATTACATTTAAATAATCCACAGCCACACAGCACTACTGCTGCGTTAGTAAAAGCTGCAGGTTAGCGGTCATGTGAGAATCTGTTTCTTCCTACCTGAGCTGCAGCCCAGATACAGTCTATATGCTGCGTGCTGAGCCGGCCCTCCGCAGCCAAGAAGTTCAGGATCACTTGGCACTGCTTAATGATCTGGAAAACAAATGGAGACATGTGCAGCACTGGGAAAAATGCAACCGGAGGAGAGCAGAAAACCCACCAAGGATAGAAAGGAGAAAGAGAATCAACACACAACCGTTTCCATATGGGAGGAGCTGAATTTATATGACTGACCTCAATGTGCAAATTGGGTCCGAATATGTGCTCCACCACGTTGTTGTGGATTAGCCAGTCTGCTAGCTCCTTTGCTATGGACCTGAAAAGATGAAGAACGACTTTCTGAATGACTCTCAATGGAGCAAAACAAAATAAAACCACCCAGAGAAAAACAATGTCGATGAGGAGGAATGGATTCTTCCTGTGATCAGGTAGTTTAGGCGTTATGGCCGACTTACGTTTCTGTGTCAGACACCAGCGACTCGTTGTTGCACACGTCGTTAAATGTGTGGAGCTGGTTCTGAGGAGAATCACAGACATGATGATGAACTGGAGTTCATCAAATAAAGCTTTATGCTGACAGAATCGCTTTGTACCAAACTGTATGCTGCATTACATCACATTACATATCAATGAAAATTACTTTTAAAAATAAGAGAATGTTACTCCATTATAATACACGTGTACCATTGAGTCCAACAAAAAAACTGTTTGAAATATTTGCTCCTAAAATGCCTTTAATTTGTGTATTTAAACATTGTTTTTTTTTATTTTTCGTCTTTCCTTCTTTGAATTGTGTTGATTGAACCCTAAAAAAATAAATAAGCTTGTCTTGTATTATATATTTAAGAACTATTTAAACTTTCCCCATCATTGTTGGTTCTTAACATAAATAGATTATTTCACTTATAAGAAGATGTATTTTCCCATAAGTGAAATAATCTGCCAGTGGAAATGGTGCTTTTTCTAATCAATATTAAGAAATAACTGACTTAAAAAAGCCCAATGTTGCAATGTTACTTAAAAGGTAGTATACTTTAAATAAGACAAAAGAGACGAGACAAAAATACTTGGTAAACCAACGGTGGGAAATTAGCTGCAAAATCTCTGACTGGTGCATTTCTAAGTAAATCGCACATTCATAAAAACATGGATGAAAGTCACATGGTTGAAGTCCTGGAGCATCTAATTACTTTGCATCAGGATTTTTCTTTTTGTTGCTCCACCACAGATGATATTGCAGTGGAAAAAGTCATGATTTTTTCAATCAGATACTCGGTTTTCTTCTATTTGTCCGTCATGGCGGATGACGCCAGTAGACTTTACTGGCTCCAATATTAATTACCATAAAGTACAAAGAAAGTCAATTACTCCGCGTCTCCTTTTGTGTTTTTACATCGGTCTTTTGAAGGGATCGTGTCTTTGTCAGGCTTGTGGGCTTCCTGACTCGGACGCTGCATGTGACTGTGTGTCGGGTCTCTCTGTCGTTAGCCGCGTGACTCACCGTGATTTGGCTGAGTCCGGCTAACCGCATGGTGAGAGTGGGAGACATGAAGTACTTGAAGGCGAGGTCCAGGCTCTCCTTGTCGAAGCACAGCGCGCTGTCCAGCGGCTCCTTCACCGTGCTCCACATCAGGTCGGCCATGTTGCGGGCGGCGCTTTGGCGCAGCTCCTGGTCGGATAGCTTACACAGGTACCTGCCGGCGGCAAAAAGCGTTCAGTCCTGCTCGTCAACGTAGATAATCCAAAATGCACAAAGGAGAAAGTTTATGTACAGACGACAAAGACACGATGGTTTGTTGTACGGGCTGCCCTCAAGGTCATAAGGTCAGCAGTGGCTTCTAGCCTTAGTTACACCACAGAATAAACTGTCAGTTAATAAACTGACATTCAAACAAACCAAAGTTTTAATAATAATACATTTCATTTGAAGGCGCCTTTCAAAGCACTCAAGGTCACCGAACAGGAAATAAAACAATAAAACAAAAACGACAAAACAATAAAAGTCATATATTCATATACCAAACAAAATTAAAAAGAAATTACATGAAGCAGAAAGTTACAGTTTCAAAACCGCTTAAATTTCATGTGTTCACCATTTATATGGTTTAAAGTCCGTTTTAAGGTGCCGGTCAGACACAGTGACCAAGAACCACGGCTGAAACGATTCATCGGATTAGTGGTGATGAACTGAGTATTGAAATAATCAACTAAATCAGTAATTGATTGATTATTAACTGGAGTATACAGATAAAAAAAATCCATTTGCTGAAAGAACACTAAGAGAACCAATGAACCAAAACTGGACAAAAAATATGAACATTTTCAATTCACAATAAAAAAAACATTTGTCTGTAAATATGTTCTACCCAAAACTCTTCAAGTGACATTTTTTGCTTCAGCCGGATCAAATTACTGTAAAAAATCCATCTATTAATCAGCTAATCCAGAAACACTGGATTGATGTCAAAACCACCAGAAAGCCGTGAGCTTTTCACATGAAGTATTTTTTAGCTGCAGATTCATCCTTTGCTACAAATAATTAAACGTTTACTAAAAAAACGCAATAAGATTTTTAATTTTCTTATGTAAAAAAATAATTTAACTGTTTGTTTATTTGGATCCCTTAGTGTTTTTCTAATATTGTATAAAAATAATAAATAACTGTTAGCTGCAGCCCTGAACAGAGTAAAGCTGGACTGCCCCGTCCCCACCTGTTGCTGCACAGTCCCAATCAGCTGGCTGAAAAGCTGCTACACTTCTTCCTCTCTGACCAGCAAAAAATTTAGCCGTTTAGAAATATCTACGGTCATGAAAAGCAAAATCACACATGGCATAAAAACGCACCATCTGTCACTCCTTTGAAGATAACTCTTAATAAAAAGTTCTCTTTAAAAAATACTCTTTAATAAAAGAGTTATCTTTAATAACTCTTAATTAGCTTGTAAAAATAAATGAACTTGTTAGACTTGTGTTGCTCTATAAAGACAACATTATAGACACAAAAACCAAATAAATAGTCTGACAAGAATGTAAATGTAATAGTTATTTTGTTTTTTAGCGACATTCTGTACCCACAGAGCATGACGACAGTTTGGGGAGAGGAAATACTTGACAACCCCGTGGTCACTCTGACACTTTCTTTCCCTTTATTAAAAGAAACTGAAGAACGTAAAAAGAGTAGAAAAAAAATTGTACCTCTTTGAAACTGGCCCATGCTTCGATGAATCTCACATTAACAAATGTAGCGTCTCTGAATTGGACAACAGCGATGCTCATTTCATTTATTCATCTAGTTTTTGCCGCTCCCCCTCAGTCGCAGGGTAATCACATGTTGCCGGTTTGGACGGACGTTTTGTTTCCGTTTCACTAAAAGTGCCTCCTCTTCCTCAAGTAAAACATTTTCGCCTTATTATTTTCCCTGTGACATGCAGGAGAGGCAGGTATGTATGCGTCACATGACCAGGCCTGCCAGACAAAACTGGAAGCCCAGCAACTGTTGCCGTGGTGACAGAAACTCTTCCTAGCAACAAACTTATGGCTCTCTGGTATTTGAGAGAGAAAGACGGCGCAGATGGAACAACGGTTGTTAAAGCTCAGTGCTCATTTTGTAAAACAGCTCAAGTCTGTTGCAGGGAGCAAACCGGTTGATATTTAAAATCATGTGAAAGTGCAGCAAGCAGGATTCCTAAATCAGGTTTGGTGGAGTCGCTAATCGGATCGGCCGAAAGCGCACAGACTCTGGCCAGAGCAGCTGTTTTAATGCAGCATTCGATAAAAGGTCAGCTCCTTAATTATCGGAGAAGGCAAGAACCAGCAGAAAACAGGGTAATTCAACAGTGTTTAAAATGACTTACAACAATTATTACCTTTTAAAAAACGTGCTAACTCACGTAGCACCAAATAAGAAAGAAAGGAAATGCTTATTTACACTGAAAGTAATCATTGCCCTTTGTGGGAAAAGCTGCATAAATAGTCATATCTTCTGTTCTGATTTACAGGAGTCGGCGGTTTGAGTGTCTCAGGTTTTTGGAAAGGGCATGAAATCTAAATGTTGCCTTTGCAGCTCATTTCTGGTCCTGAAAGCATCGAAAGGTCTCCAATAACCTGAGGGTCTGCATGGCTGTCCAGCTAATGTATTTAGACTTACAACCATTCAGTGCTCAACACACCAACACGGAAATATGTCCTTTTGCAATCAGTGAGACAATACAGTGAATTTTTTCTCTCCGTTTTTTTAGCCTCACCGAGTTTCAGTTGAATGTATTAAGTTTACATTTCAGGCCCAAAAATAATCCTGCATTATTCACTCACTGATTTTCTGAACATACCAAGTAGGTAAATGTGGTGATATAAAGTTGCACATCATCAGCATAAGAAAACCTTAACGCCAGATGTGATCTTAGGTCAATCATTTATGTAGCTGCCAAATAACAAAAAGGAGTAACAGTTCGTCAAGTAAGATTTCAGCCACAGTTACAGTGGCCAAGAGATGGAAACGCGCAGCAAACAGTGAAAGACACAAATAAAAAAAATAAAATAAAATAAAAAACGTAGCAATTACACAAGATGAAAAAGTAAATGGAAGCAAAATGGAGAATGCTGCAAATAGCAAAAACAACAGCAGGCGTGAAACGCTGCAAACTTGGTGAACAGAAATGCTCCAGACCACTAGGGGGAGTGTGGAGTTGGTAATATACCTCACGTAACTGTGTTGCTGTTTTATAATTTTGTAAAAACATGAGGAGTAGCGTGCCTTTTCTTTCTTCCTCCAATTTACTTCTAGATATCCCATTAAATTATAATATCCCATCTTTACTGTGAGGCTTTCTCCATATGATTTGATCGTCGACTCCCCCTAGTGGTCTGGAGTTTGTAGCGTTTCATAATTGCTGTTTTTACCGTGTGCAGCATTTTCCCTTTTTCTTCTGTTTCCTGTTATTGCAGCATCTTAGTTTGCTTTTGTTTTGTAGATTGTTTTTTTTTTTGCATCCATGTTCTGTGATTTCAGCTTTTTGTTGTTTTTTTTTTTTTGCATCATTTTTCTCTTGCATTTATTTGCTGTGCTTTGGACGTTGCATCATTCATTTGCTTGCTGCACGTTTAGCAGTTTGCAGCAAATTTGCACCCGTCGGCCACCGTACACAGCAGCAGACAATCCTACGCCAACAATCAACTGTAAGAAGCTAAAAGCTCTTAGGTACCTCCACATATAAACTTTACTAAAATTAACAAAAAGACTTGGATCATTTTAAATAATTTGATTACATCTCAGTCTGTAGGGAAAACAGGTTTTATGTTAAACCAACAAGAAGGAACTACAGCTTGTTAAAAAAATGCAAAAACTGTCCAGTGTGGTTTTATTTTCTAATGAAAGTGAATCAGCATGTTTGTAACTTACCGTATTACATAGGTGCGGAAGGGTATGATGTGCTGCATAACTGCAGGAATGTGCAACCATATTCGTATCTGTGGGAGGTTTAAAAAAAGAATCATACTAATTATTCATAATGTCGCACACAGAATTAGTAATAGTATGAGAAAATGGAAGTTTGCTGGAGAAAATATGGAATTAAAGAAAAAAAAATGCTGCTTTTTCCAACTTAGAGTGAGTATTTTCCTCAGTATATGAGTAAGAGTGCAACTAACAGAACATCTGACTCACATTTGAGACAATTGTGATAAAGGCATGAGCGATGGGGAAGGGGAGGCTCTCTGGTGTGCCCAGCTCAAAGCATTCCTTCATCAGGGAGAGGCCGTGTTTCCCACAAAACAGACAGACGTAGCGAAGGAGGTGAAGCGGCACCTCCACGTCCTGCATTAAGAATCAAAATAAAGTCATAATATGTTCATTTTGCATCCTAACATAAACAAAAATGACCAACAAATCAAATAGACCTTACAAATACACATTTTGTTTACTTTAAGATTTGGTTCAAACTTAGTCCTGAAAACAATTCCTTATCCATAAAGAAAACATTTTTAAAAATACAGAAATTAACCAAAGGTGGAAATAGTTATTCCAGGATTTCTGAAGCAAAGTCTTGTTAAAAAGTTGTAAGCAGGTAATATCTAACCTGGAGTAGAAAACTCTCCTTGAAATCCTCATTTTGTTTTAATATAAGCTCGACTTGTAACATGATGCTAAATGCTAATCCAAGTGTTGAGAAGAAAGTTTATTTCGACAGCTTTAAACCAACGTCAAAAACATAATAAAAGTTTGGCTAATGCTTTTTCATGAACCTTTAAAATGTTCTCATGTTTGTTTCAGATCATCATTTCCAGATAAGCTGAGGAATATTTGCACAGGAAAAGGAGGTGGGAGGACGTGTACAATCAATAATCGTTTTGAAACACAAAGTTTTGTTCACAGAACTACTTTCATGTCACGCTAGATGAACAGAACCGCAACTAAACGAGGAAATACACACGAGATAATTTAGTGCAGGAACGGGAGGAAAAAACTCCCATTTCTGGTGAACTGAATCTGACCCTGCAACATATTGACCAGATGGAAACAAAGCAGCAAGGAAGCCTCGTTACCACAGAGATTACGTTACACTTACTGCACTGTTTTCACTGACAAAACAATGGAAGGTAAGAAACTTCTGCAACAGTTAACCAAACAAAGCAAAAAGACTCGCACAACAGAAACAAGAACGAAAACTATGATGTCAGTCAGTTCTGACTATTTAAATAAAACCTTTTAGGGACATTCATGTTTGACATAGATCATATTGTAGTGTGAACAATTATCTGAAAAACACAAATATCTGTCACATATCTCAAAACAGGAAACACGAAGGCTCTTTTTCATAAAAAGTAGAAATCATAGCTTACAGGACGTATTTAAATCTTGCTGATTCATGGAACAAAACAGAGTTAATACACTGGAAGCCGAAACTTTACACAATGTCCAAATATGGACATTCAGTACTTTGAGTTTCAGGTTTCTCTGGCCAAACGTCAGAAAACTAACAGTCTGTGCCTCGTAGTATGACGTCTAAATCAAACGCAGAATGAAAAAGATGCATGACACAAGAGACTGCTGGAAAATACAAAATACAACTCATTTGAAGATTTGAAGTAAACCTGATTTCACTTAAAAAAAAAACTGAATGGGATGCAAACAAAACTGGTGACATTTGTTACAAATATTTACAGTAATTACAGTAAGTATTAACTCGCGAAACTACTAAATTATGAGCATTTTGGTCTGTGTGGTCCTGAAATGCCAGATGGTGTTTAGAAATTCTGGCTAAAACACCAAAAAAAAATCTCCCATTTGCAGCTCCGTTTATGAACCGCACCCATAAAACTCGTCCCAACAGTGAATAACAGATATAACATGAAAATATATATATACAAATCACAGACAAAACAAAACACCAACTGCCCTTATTTCAAAAGTTTCCATCCATTATGTTTTAATGAGGTTAAAGTTATTTGTGAGGAACTAACTAAGAGGTGTAATAGTATAATTTGAGGAAGAAAAAGTAACAAAGGTTCTTACATTCATGTCGCAGAAGGAGCCCAGGATGTTGCTTTCATGAGCAGATATGTCCTGGGAATAATAATAAAAAAGGAAAAACAAAAATGGCACCAGCTGGTTAATAAAACATGAATGGCAAATACCAAAAGTAATCTAAAAAACTCTTTTACATGGCCTGGGTGATACTGCCAAAAAATGATAGTACAATAAACATTTTACAATAGTTTTCACAATAAATAGCGATATTACAGAAGAGTTTTTTTTTATTTATTTGGTCAAACAAATGTGTAACTACAAAACAAAGATTTTTTAAATTTCCTTTATAAGCAGTCACCAGAAGAAAAAAATATATCTAAATATAAATACATACAAATCACACAATACGCTTAGAGCGTCAAAGAAAATACCGTATTTTTCGGAGTATAAGCTGCTACCTTTTTCCCGCGCTTTGAACATGGCGAGTTGTTCAAGATATTATTTTATTTAAAAACTCAAACAATATGCGCAAAACTAAGAATCTCTTCCTTTTAAATCATTTCAAAAGGATTTAAATCTGTATTTTAACTTTCCTTTAAAAAATGCTCAACACCAAAATATATGAAACATAAAAAACCTGCACAAAGTAAAAGCCTGTGCTCACTTCCTAATGATCAGGAAATGTGTTTAACTTGAAGCAATGACTGTGTCAGTGTTTGGTGTTTAACTTTACATGTTGAGTTTTTTTAAGGAAAACATGGTAAAATTAAGTTACATTACAAAATAAAATGCATTACATTATCAAAAGCAAAATGCTCACTAACTCCTTCAATTGCTTTCTTCCCACACTTTGAAGCTCAGTAGGACGTTTGGGTTAGTTACATGTAGGACTTGTTCTCACCTCTATGGTGGGGTGCGTGTTGTGTTTGTAGGCCGTGTAGAGAGGAAACTGGATCTGAAAAATCTTGGCCGCACACAGCAGCAGTTTTTCTTTCTCCTCTGTGGTCCAAGAGCTGAAGGGGTCCAGGTTGTCGCCTCCGCCTCCAGCAGAGTTCTCCCCATTCCCAGACTCGCTGCCACCGTCCAGAGGTCCCAGCGGGTTCGCTTGGCCTCCATCTGGCCGAATTGTGTCCTGCTCGTGGCTCTGAGTCTTCTTCTGGTTTGGGTCGGGTGTGTTGGCGTCCTCTTCAGCAGAGTCCCTTTCCACATTGACGGGTTCGTCCTCGCCGGGGGAGGCCGGCTGGGGGAGCGAGCCGGGTGCAGACTCTCCGGCGGCCCAGTCGGGCCTGCCCTCTTCGGTCCCAGACCCTTTGTGCGTGAGGTTCTGGGCGCTGCAAAGCTGGTTTCTCAGGCTGTTGATCTGAGTGATGACCAGGTTTATGAGGGCGTACACCAGCTGATTAAAAACCTCCAAGTGCTTGTACTCTTTGAAGCAGCACAGACATTGCCTGGAAGAAGAAGGAGAAAAGCACAAAAGATTACGGTTTTCATTTTGACTGGTACCGGGATGGCCAGGAAGTAATCCATTTTGTCTCCACTCTTTTAGAACACCAACATTTAGCTGTTTAATTTAAAAATGTGTTGGCAAATGAAGTCAGAGAAAGTAGGAACAACATACAAGGAAACAATCTTCCAGCTCTGAAGACACTGGTACAGTCGTTTGTTATTAAACTAATCTTATTTTTGCATGATTGTGGACATGAATATCCGGTTGGTTCTTATTTTGTTT